AGCTTGCCCTTCCCCTGAGCCCCTAGCTCTAGTTTTGCTTGTGTTTTGTATGTGGTGTGTGTGTGTGTGTGTGTGTGTGTGTGTGTGTGTATTGTGCTGCTACTGGGACTTGAACTCAGGGATCTCATACTCTTGCTTGTTTGTTTGTTTTATTCAGTGCTGGCACTCTACCACTTGAACCACATTTCCACTTCCAGCATTTTTGCTGCTTAGTTGGACATAAGAGTCTTGTGGACTTTTCTGCCTGGAATGGCTTTGAACCTCAATCTTCAGATCTCAGCTTCCTGAGTAGCATGAGCAAATGACATGTAGCTAGCTTGAGTCTTTCCTGGCAGTGGGGCTTTGAGGGAGCCCCTCTGGGCTTAGAGGCCAGCTATCATTTCTGACCCTGCATGAGATCCTTGGAGACAGTGCTGAGAACCCCTATAACTCACAGTTTTTCTAATGCTCCTTCTCTTTTGGTGCTGGTACTGGGGCTTGAACTCAGGGCCTAGGAGCTGTCCTTTAGCTTGTTTTGTCCAAAGCTGGAACTCTACCACTTGAGCCTTACCTCCTGTTAGGATTTTTGGTGGTTAATTGGAGATAAGAGTCTCACAGGGCTGGGAATGCAGCTGAGTGGTAGAGTGCTTGCCTAGCATGCATGAAGCCATGTGTTCAATTCCTCAGTACCACATAAACAGAAAAGGCCACACTGTGGCTCAAGTGGTAGAGTGCTATCCTTGGGCAAAAGAAGCTCAGGGACAGTGCCCCGGCCCTGAGTTCAAGTCCCAGGATGGCAAAAAAAAAAAAGTCTTACAGACTTTTCTGCCTGAGTTGACTTTGAACTGTGTGTGATCTTCCAGTCTCAGCCTCCTGATTAACTTCGTTCATAGGCCTGAGCCACCAGTACCTAGCAATTCCCTCTTATGTACTTTATCTGAGATTCACTTTAGTGAGCAGTGTCCCTAGTCCATAAGGCTAGAATTTGGAAGCCATCCTTGCCCTTCTGTTTCCCTGCCCCCACCTCCACTGACCACACCCATCCAGCAGTCTTCTGGGTCCCAATGGCTCTCCAGTGAGTTCCCCTCACCCCAGAGCCAGCCAATACTCCCAGAACATTTAAGCCAACTGCCACATGAGTGTGGGGACAACAGATCCTTTCTGTGGGATGGGATCAAATGCCTATATGAGAGCATGCGCAGCTGTACTCATGTGGATGAAGGCGGGATTAGAGGGCAGCCGGAGGGCTCACCCACAGGAGGCCTCTGAGGGGCAAATCCAGGGAATCCAGGCCTCCAGTAAGCCTGGGAACACAGAGAATGGCTAAATCTGTTTCCCTCAGGGGCGAACTGAAAATAGCATGCAGGAAAAGTAAGTTCTTTGAATCTAAGTCTGAAAGCCAGGTGCAGGTGGCTCATACCTATTATAATCCTATGATCTGAATATCGTGGTACAAAGCTTGCCTGGGCAGTAAAGTCCATGACATTTTTACCTCCAATTAACCAGCTAAAAGCTGCAAGTGGGGCTGTGGTTCATGTCAGAGCACTAACCCTGAGTACAAGCCCCAGCGTCGGCACGAAAAACCTGGGTTTGAAAAAAACAAAAAAACAAAACAAAACAAAAAACCTGGCGGGATCCTAGGCTCTAGTTCTGCCTTTGCATGCTTTGGTGAGTGGCCGTGGGCCATTTACTGCCCATCAGGGCTTCAGTTCCCTTGTGTCAGGCCTGTGATTCTAACTTCCCTGGCACTATGGTTTTGGTCTGGCAAGGGTTTGATTTTTGTGAGGGAACTGACTTGGGGGCGGGGGGGGGTGGACTTGGGAAGGCCTGTTCACATCCTGCTTAGTGCCTATACCCTGGATGAGTAGGGGGTCCACAGGCAGCAGTGGAGCCAGAGCCAGGTAAGGGGGAACTGGAAGAGCAGGCGCCAGAACCCCCAGGACTTGGTGGGCGGTCAGCTGTGCTAGCACTGACATCAGGGGCTGGTGAATGTGGAGGAGTGTGGGCCAGGTCCATCAACCCACACCTCCCTTGCAGCCTGGTGCTGGGCAGTGGGGGAAGGGGGTGTTGGAGAGGGTGGGGGTGGTACTATCAGGGAAAGGCCCAGATGAGCCAGGGGCCAGTGAGCAGAGCTTAAGCCTCCCTTTATTTATCTTGTAGCCAGCCAATAGGGTGCTTTGGGGCTCTTGTCCTGATTTCTTCCTACCTTACATTTCCCTAATCCCTCTTTTCCTTCTACCCCCTCTGAGGCTCTTCCTCCCTGTCCTGCTGTCTCTCTTTTTCTCCCAGGCTCAGCTCCAGCTGTTGACTCAGTGGTCTGACTATAGGAGGGAAAGGAGCCAGGGGGCTGGTTTGAATTCTGTGCCAACTGCCTTCCTAAACTCTACAGGGAGCCTCCGTGTCTGTCCTTCACTAAGTCCAGACTTCAGCCCTAGGAGTCCAGACAAAATCCCTCCTAGACACTACCATAGTGACCCAGGAGACATCAGCTCACCTCCTGGGAAAGAAGGCTGGGTCCCTCTGCCCTTCACTGGTCCAGGTACCTGCCAGGTATGCAACAGCTGCTCAGGCCCTCCCAAGACTTCTTCCCTCTCTTCTTGGGTCCTACAAAGGAAAAGACTATGTTTTTTTCTCTCTGAAACTCAGCTTTCTTAATTCTAGGCTCTGTGCTCAGACACTATATGCACTTCCTGGGGTAAAAGTGGCTGCAGAGGTCTCTCTCAAGGTCTCTATCAAAGATTCTAACAGGAGAAAAAGTGTGGGGAGTGTTTTGGCTCACCTAGCCCAGACAGCTACTTGGAATATACATGTGTGTATGCGCGTGCGCGCGCGCGCACACACACACACACACACACACACACACACACACACACAGACAAGCAGCATACACGCCTCTTGGCACTTGACTTTCTCATGAAATAATTGCTGGAAGGCTCCTTGGATTAGGTAAGCCAGTGTTCCTTCCTGTCCCTACTGTGGGGAGGGATCAACAGTTTGCATCTGTTAGACTGATCCAGCCCCTCTGGGCAGGGAAGGCCAGTCCAGGAGGGTCTATGGGCTCCAGATACCCTTGGAAGCTGAACGCTGCCGTGGGAACAAGCCTCTTAGCCTTCTTCCTGTGGTCCATCTGGCTGTGCCTGTTTAGTCTCCCAGCCTCCTTCAGCTGTTCAGGCCTAGGAAAGCCCAGGCCAATTAGGAAAGCCTTTTCGCACAAAAGGATCAGATGTTCTTATGTTTATTTTAAATATGTTGTATGACAATGTCCATTTTTCTAAAGTAATATGTGTTTCCATCTGTCCATTTTCTTAGGTTGGCTGGGTTTGTTGTGGGGAGGAAGGGAGGTGGCTGGAGTGGGGAGCACTATCTAGGATTAAGAATAAGAAGCATTAAAGGGAATAAAAGATGTGATCTCCACTTGTTGATAGACACTAGTGACAGGGAGAGGGTATGTGGTTTGTCCAAAGTTGTACTTGCAGTATTTGGACATTCTTCCTTAAATACACCCTTTCCTCACATCCACTCTCAACCTCAACCTCCCCCCCCTCCCCGTCCCCCTGCCTCTTTTGGTCAGTTGTGGCCTTGAATTCAGGGCCTAGGCACTGTCCCTGAGCTTTATCACTCAAAGCCAGCACTCTACCATTTTGAACTACAGCACCACTTTGGCTTTCTAGTGATTCATTGGAAATGAAGAGTCTCATGGACTTTCCTGTCCAGGGCTGGCTTTGAACTGCGATCCTCAGATCTCAGCCTTCAGAGTAGCTAGACTTACAGGTGTGAGCCACCAGCACCCACAAAAGGGCCCGCTGGTGAGTGAGCCTGGATCCCTTACTGACTACTCGTGAGAAGAGTGTGCATATCCTGTTGCTGATGGACACTGGTGGCTCACACTTGCTTATCCTAGCTCCTCTGGTGGCTGAGATCTGAGGATCCAGGTTGGAATCCAGCCACAGCAGGAAATTCAAATGACTCTGATGTCCAATTAGCTAGCAAAAAGCCAGAGGTGGAGGCATGGCTCAAGTGATAGAGCTCTGGGTGTTCTCTCTCGCTCTACTCCCCATCCCCCTCCCTACAGAGTAGGACTAGGAGAGGGGACACATACTTGCAGAGACTGGCAGGGACTTTACCATCTGTCTCCTCTCTGGGGTCTTTTAACAGGTGCAAGAAATTCCAGGCGAAGGTCTCAGGTCTCAGGTCTCGCTGGGGAGGCGAGTACGGGTATGTGAGAACCAGATGCCGCTGAGGCTGCGCTCGTGGGGACCTGAACGGTGCAGATCTCCACTCCAACAGGACCCATGCCCCTACCCACGCTTTACCCCTCTGCTGTGATCCTCAAAGTCCTCTTGAGGGCCTGAGCCTTCTTCCGGTGAGGGCTCGGAGCTCTCCACGCCCACCGCGGGTCACTTCTCGGCACCCTTGGAGAGGAGCGGGGGTGGGGGGGGTGGG